TAGGCTACTCGAAATGATGATCGATATGATACCGCCCACAGTGATTTGCAGTCATCTTGATCTATATGTAGAAAAAATTATATTATTTTAAAATTTCTAACTATTATTTTAGCTATGTGTAGGAAGAACGGCAGTTAAGTTATTTGAGAAATCAACATATCAAACTAGTTTAATTTATATTTTAAAATACTCTAAATTATGTAAAAAGTTTTCATTATAATGTGATACATATACTCCTTCTCATTATAATATATATATATATAATATATTATATAAAATATATATATATATATATATATATATATATATATATATATATATATGTTTACTTATATATATATATATATATATACTATATATATATAAGAAAAATGAGTATGCTTAGGTACTAGCATGAATTTTGTGCATGGTACAAGCACAAATGTTTGACTTGAGTGTGAGGTAGCTATATCCCCTCCAGTCATTTAATGTGCGACCATATTCAATGGGTTGAGGGTGCATGGGGATCCATACCAATTTGAATGAATGGAGGGGACTGTGCGTCGACCTCTTTTGCAGCAAATCATATATATATATATATATATATATATATATAATATATATTATACTATATATTATATTATATATATATTAGATTAATGTGTCATCCTTGTCATAGGAGGCGATTTCCTCTTGAGCCTCTAAAATCAATCGATGAGCCGACGTTGGGATGATCCGCTGCCGTTGACTTGATCTACATATTCGAATCCCAACACTAAGTTTGGGGTGAACGCGTCGTCGTTTGAACGTTCATCGACACTCGTATTCAAGTTTTAACGTTTTGAATAATAGAACTTTTCACATTGGCTCGATGGAGGGTCAAACGCGACGGATTCACCCAAACTTGGTGTGTTGAGGGTTTAGAATATTGTTAGATTCAGTTCAATTAGAGCGGATCATCCATAATTGCTCATCATATGATTTTGAGGGCGTCTAGGAGGAAATCTCCTCCTATGACGAAGATACCGCATTAATCTCTCTCTCTTCTCTCCTCTTTGCTCTTATTATATATATATAATATATATATATATATATATCTATAGTAATATATAATTATTATATATTATATTATATATATATAGCAGAGAGAGAGAGAGATGAAGAGAGAGAGAAGAGAGAGAGAGCAGAGGAGCAAACTTGTTGTCAACTTAAGTGGATAGCAAAAAGTTATCCACCAACTTTTAACACTCATTATTGCCTAAGGGATCTCTACATGATATGAAAAGGTTTTTATATTAATAAATGAGTGGCTAGGAAGTTTGATGGAGCATCAAGCTTTAAGTTAGATAGGAGTCTTATGTGTGCGCGGAAAGCGGGAATTTTGACAAGTTTTCTGATGCAGCATAAAGAGAGAAAGTCAATAAGATTCAGGTATCACCATAAAATAAGGAATCGAAGCGAATATATCAACAAAATGCGGTATCAGGCTCTTCCTCTCATCAGTTCTAGGACTGAGTTGTTGAGTGAACCTAACTAACTATTACAATGGCATAAAAACAAAAAAGCTGATTTTACGTGCGTTCGGTAATTACTATGCTACGTCCATGGGGAAGAGTGGCGGGGGGGGGGGGGGGTCTACTATTAGAGAGGAGAGAATACAACTAGGGTTTACAATCACTCAATCTAAACCCTCACACAATCTATTACGCCTCTCACACAAATATCTCTCTCAAAAGCACAAAAGGACTGTTTGCACGAAGCCAAAGAAAGCTGCTGACTTTTTCTCTGCACCTCTGTGAATTTCCTCCCTCTGCCTTTGCACGCCGCCCAAAAGAGCGCTGTCGTTTTCTCTCTCAATCTTGCACACATCACACGAAACCCTAGGAAAACCTTATATACTTTATTATATCGGGTGGGCCTTTGAGAGAGATTCCCTGATCTCTTCACACGTTTCAACATCTGGACTCCCCACTTGCCTATCTTCCAATGAGTTATCTACTCTGATTCGTGGTGGCCCCCACGTGTTGAAGACAAACGCGTCCTGCTATCTCTTCACGCTGCAGGCTTCCAATAATTCTCCACCTCAGCGAAGTTTTCCCAAAACTGAGCTGACACAAACCAAAACAAATACATCACTTGTTGCGTTTAGTACAAAGTGAAACGATTCACGACAACAGACTCAATCCATAACAAGTCGTGACCTAAACGGGAGTGCGAACTCTCTCCCAAACATCAGTATCTACTCATCAAATTGGCTGCATCTGAAAGACTGCCTACATATCCTCTTACCCAAGGAATAGAGCATTCACGTAGTTCACTAAATAGCTGCGAACGATCTCAATCTAATAGAAGAGTTCGCAAACCCTTCTCCAATATCATCAACTCTGTCGGCTGATAGAAATCCAAATGGCCCCAAAGTGTAACGAATCAAACACCTCCACATGAGGTGAACCAATGACCATATCCAAACTACATCTATCAGCTACACTCGCATCAAAACTCAACTCATCATCTGCATCCAAGACCAATTTATCCCTTAATCGTGTCACCTCAGCTGGAATCCTAAATGATACAGTATGATCTGGAGTATGTGGATTGTGGAGTAACCTCCACCTAATATGGAGTAGCATCACTCTCTACCCTTTGCGATATATCTAAGGTCTGTCCAAAACTCTCTACCTGCTGAGAGTCAATTAGCTCCATCATCGAAGCCTCAACCGAAGTGACACTACCAGATCAAACACCCAATTGAGTTTTACCTCTTATCACAGCAGTTGACAACTCTTTAATAGGATGACCCAAATATGTTGAAGCCTCAGTCTAGAAACTCTTCTGTAGACTATTGCTTGACAATAAACACTGATCCTCCTCCAACAAGGCACGGTTCTCCAAATTTTTCACCTTATCTAGTTGCCCTAAATTTTCTTTCCAACGAAGTGTCTCGAAATACCGTGAGCTCGGCTCTAATACAGAAACATGTCCATCTTGTACCTCCCACCAAAACCAGAATGAAGTATTTTCACCTTTCTGCTAATCTCACACTTCTTCAATCTGTTAGAGACTACTAGGATTTTCTCCAATGGGGATTTGGTTGCAACCCAAACACGCCTAGAACAGTCACCAACAAAGAAAACCAAATATCTATTACCTCCCAATGATGCCTCCTTGGAAAGCCCCCAAACATCCACATGAACTCCTCTAGAACGACCCTTAGCTCGGTGAATAGAGGTGCCAAACTTTACTTCGGTCTTCTTGCTCACATCAACATGTTCACTGGACTTTAAATTGTAGGTCTGCACATCCTCTTTCAATCTATGCAAGGAATCAACTAGTCAAATCAATAGAAGTCGTCACTTCTCCACCTGCCACTATACCTCCAGTCAAGTAATTATACATGTTATTCTTCCTGACGCCCTTCATCATAATCTGAGAGTCTTCTACAATCTTGAGAACCATGTCCTTAATTTGAACATTCAGACCCTCTCCAACCAAAGCTCTAATCGAGATCAAGTTCTTCATTAAGGAAGGAACATATCTCACATTATATAACTCCCTAATAGTCCCGTCAAACATCTTGATGTGAATTCTTCCTATCCCAAGGATCTGACATACACGGTTATTAGCCTTGTATACCACACCACTATCCAGTTTCTCAAAACTGGAGAACCATTCCCTTCTAGGGCACACATGATATGTCGCACCAAGCGTTGAAGACAAGCGCGTCCTGCCATCTCTTCACGCTGCAGGCTTCCAACATCTCTCTCTCTCTTCTTCTCCCTCTCTCGTGCTCTCTCTGCTCTAGTATAATATATATATATAATATATATATATATATTATATATATATATATATATATATATATATATATATTTATTAATATAGTTATATATATATATAATATATATATCATATATATATGACCCATATTGAGTCTTTGTTGAAAAATGACCAGACAATATCTAACAACGAATACTAGACCAAGTCATACCAGACCAAGTCATACCAGACCAAGTAAATCCAAATGCTAATTAGTAACATTGAAATCTATATGTTAAAACACTTGCGTTTGGTATCGGTTTATGCCTTTCTAGTTCCTGAGTACTAACGATGGCGACATCTTGTTGTATATGTACCACTTTTGGAACGACTCAGCACCTTAATGATCAAAGTTATGGCGAGGAGAAGGCAACCGTCATTGACGTTTGTGCTTGCAAGAAAACGCATCAAAGGACATTGGCATTGAGATAATGTAGCTAGGGACCAATTGAAGATGACTTGGTATGGAGAATTCATCAAAGAACATTGATATCGGTATCGGATCAAAGTCAAACTGACAACTCTCACACTAACCAGGCTAGTGGATCGACACGGTTAAGAACGAAAACTCTGTTTGGCGAAAACTAAGTCAGAATTGGACTGGTTCTTTAATTTCAAAATTTAACTCTTAAAGTCAATTAATTTAATTTTGGACCAAGGAGGAACCGGTTTAAGAGGGACTTGTCAAACTGACGCTCGCAAAAACTTTATAGC